TCCTTTACTTTATAGTCACTTTATGTCATTCTTAAAATTTCAGAGAAGAGAATTTTGTGTCTACTGATTTGCTTTTGAACTTTGTGACGAGTTGGATGGATTGTCGTGATAATTTCCGCCCATTTTTGCCAGACATCCGATTTTATTATTCTTTAAAATATTTTAATACGATTTCCTCAACATTTTTATTTGAACAGCTATAAAAACAAAAATAAAAAGTTCTTCATTTCATGTGAAATTGTGTCATAAAAAGGATAATAAAGCACACCTGTACCTCTGTCAATTAGTGAAAGAAACTCTGTTAAGATTTTCTCAAGATTTTTCACACAATTAATTTTCTCTACAACAGTTAAAATTAAATTTTTTTCAACAGTTATTAACAAAATATTAATGTTTTTTTCCTTTCTTAAAGCTTTTGGTATTGGCAGTATGATTTATTCGGGCTTGGAATTTGGTCAATATTTCGAACTGAATCCTGATACGAAATGTCATAATGTTTTGCTGGCTCTGACCCCCGCAACACGCATGGCATTCATTTTCATACAAATGTATTTCATCTTTTTGAATAATGAGGTAAGTTTTGGGTATAATAAATTACACAATTACACAATTTGTTAAAATGAAAGGCAATTAATTTGTACAAGATTAAAACGAAATATTTTTGGAAAAATAATCAATCATCTTCGATTCTGTATAAAAGGTTTTGTTTCAATCTTCTTTTGAAAATTCCAAAAAATGTACATGAAAAAGTAAAGTAAATATTAGTATAATTATTTATAATCACATTATCTTAACTATATTACAGAAAAAAAAAATAATTGGAATATTGTTTTACTCTTTTACTTTCAGCAAATCAAAGTATATCGCTACAAAATCATCGCACGTTTCGGTTTGATGCATATGATTGGAACCAATTTAGCGGTCTGGCTGAACGTATTAATACAGGAAACCAAACACGAAATATTGACCTTTTACAATCCTGAAAATCGTACATTACGTATATCTCATCGCATACCAGGTCATTCACGTGGACATGGCGGACATGCGCTCATGGCCAGTGATCCCACCGCACACCTGCGTCTACCACGTGGACTTAAAGGACCATATCAGATCTTCGAATGTCGCCGTACTAATATAATTGGTACCTTAGTGCAAGATGCTTCTCCATTTCTCTTCCCATGCACCATTGAATACTCGTTAATTTGCGCAGCCATTTTGTATGTTATGTGGCGTGGCATTTCGCGACCACAGTCACCAACGCCACAACGACCCGATACGATAAGTTCGCCTTTAAAACGATCACCACATCATTACTCTGTAGACTGCGCACGTGCACACAAGGGGCTCTTTGTTGGTATACTGATCCTAGTACTCACCATCATATCGCTTATACTTTTCTTTGTGCTGATTTCGCGTCCAGATTTCGTAGCTTTGGCTGTTACTGAGGTGACTATATGTGAGTTACTCATCTATGGTACCGCGACAATAGCTACTCTAGTGGGTATGATACAAATACGTCATTTGCAGTATGATGCTTATCGTAGCTTCTCTTTGGATGACATATTATTAGTAGGCGCACAAACTGGCTCATTTCTGTACAATATATTCACTGTAATTGCTGGACATTTCACCATACGTAGTGATGATATGCTTGTGCCACTCAATGCTTTGGCTTCTATTGTGCAAACTGCCTGTCAGACTATGTTTATACTGGACGCAAGTCGACGACAAGCTGTGACACCTGAGCATATACGCAAAAAGCCAGGTCGTGAAATTGTCACTTTCATGTTAGTCGTTAATCTGGCTATGTGGGCTATAAGTACGTTAGAGAAATCACGCGCAGAATCACATCCCATACAGCTTAACTTCTATGGCTTGTGGGCGTGGACTATTATCACGCACGTATCAATGCCTTTAGCTATATTTTATCGTTTCCATTCAACAGTTTGTTTGTGCGAAATCTGGAAGCGCGCCTATAAACTAAAACCCACGTACATGTGAGAAATGGCGCGCGAGCGCATTGCTAGCATTGCGCAACAACAACAATTTTGCGAAGATCTCAAAACTAATTTATCGTACTGTTACTGTTCCACAACATTGGTAGGTGGAGAGTTGGAGACAGTGGAAGAAGTCGATAGCGGCAGCGGAAATGGCAATGGCAATGGTGAAAACGGTGTTAAGGCAGGCAATAATGGTGATGCAACAGTTGCTGTACTAGAAGGCACTGGTACTGAGGTGACCGAAGAGGAAGATTTAGATACAACCGATGCAGAAACTGTTGTTGATCAACAACAGGAACAACAGAGGAATAAATCGAAGAAACTTATCGGCAGTGGACCCCAGTCAGCATTTCGACCGGTATTTGTTATAAATGGTGAATGAGTTTACGAGGAATTTGAGTTCATTGATGCGTCCAGCGATCGTGAACTCATTTTCGTTTGAAGTTCTTTAAGAGGTTTTTAATCGGAATCAGTGTGACGCTTTGATTGCATTGATAAAAAGTTACTCATGTTGATGAAACACTAATGAAAAATTATCATTATTACTACACATTTTAAATTGACCAATTTTGTTTTTAATAGATAAAAATATTGCAAAGTAAAAACTAAGCTCAAACTGATTTGAAAAAAATATAACCGAATCGATGCGTTTTTAAACATATCTTGCGAGTTTACTTGATGAAAAATGTTCAAATTTAGTCAGAAATGTTAACCTAAAAGATAATGAATTAGTATATGCAGAAAACAAACGATAATATATACATGTAGAAATATATTTATACCTTTTTATGAAGAATATAAACTATAATAAAGGGAATATTATGCATTTTAGGAGATTGAAATACTAAAATTCGATAAAGCGCAAATTATGAACAAACCTAATTATAATAAAAAAGTTTTACCAGTTTAAGGACAGTATCATTTCTAGATAAAATTCTTTAAAATTATTATCGAAAATAATATATAATAAAAAAATAATATACAAGTAACTAAAACAATTGGTTGAGAAATGAGGAAACAGTGTTCTTAGTGAAGCAGACATTGAGGTATTATGCTCCGAAAGGAGCTGAAGAACAACGATAATGAGTGTTTTAATGTTATAATTATCATAGCATAAAAAGTGCTGTTTGAGTTATGTATTAAAAGATATAGTTACGAAAAAAACTTAACATATAATTAATTCATTTCATTAAAAAGACAAGACTTTTTATGCAATCAAAATCAGCTGTTCTTTTAGAGAATAGTATTTCAATTTCTACTATTCACAGAATCATAAAATAAATTAAGAAAGTATTCCCTGTGCTAGACTGATATAGTGCTCAGAAATATCAAAAATATATTGTTTGCAGAGATATAAGTCAATATCAAAGACTTGATTCGAAGTTTTAATAAAAACTTTGACAGGTTTCTCAGTCAAAATTTTATAGGTCTGAACTCAGTTTATATATTAGTTTCTATATTTATTTTATTATTATACTTTTTTACTTAACTAACATTATAAACTCAAAGCCCTCATTATCGTTGTTCTTGAGTTACTTTTTACGAGAAAAGCGTCTTAATTGCTGTTCTTCAGAGATTTAATTTTTTTAAAGAGGACTTAAGTGTCAAATGCTGATTTGACTAGATTACTGCAACCAAATATTCTATATTTCCTTGGACTACAAATATATATTCAAACTTTTTTTTTATTGTAAATAATTACTTGACAATCGGAAGATAGTTTGAACTAATACTATAGAAGGAAGATCTTTTATCGCATATTTTGGAAGATTGAATAAAGGATATAGATATAAATTATAGAAGATGGTAATTGGTTGGAGAGAGTATTATAGAAGATGAGAAAAGGGAGGAGAGTAACAATATACGATGAATCAATTATATTATAAATATAGTAGAAAATATTTTGTTAAGGTGATATTAAAGACGATAAAAACTCAATTGAAGTAAGAGAGAAATAAACTAAAAGAAAACAATAAAACATATTAAGGTAATTCGATGATCTCATATAACTATACCTCTAAAATTTATAGAAGATGGAAGCAAACTTAGCGAAAGAAAAGACTCTTAGTAGTTGAGTAGAAAAAACTTGTATGGGAGTATAGTAAAAGTTGAAAAAAATATTTAAAGGAAAAAACGATTTAAGAAACTAAGCAAAACAGTTAAAGAAAATTACAAATGCTAAAAAAAATTGAATTCAATTTTCTTTTGAAGAGTTTTGAAGAGTTTTTTGTGGAGAGAAATATAATGTAATAAAGATTAGCTATCATATAGTTTCGTTTTGAACCCGGATTATAGGAAAAATATTCAAACAACTTATCACAGAGAATAATCTTAAATAACTATAATATTGAGGAGTTTGAAACTTGAGTGGAGTTTGAAAATATATTCAAGCAATTAAGAAGGGTTTTGTATTTCAGTAGAAGAAAAATGTTGAATTGAATTAGATGGTATATATATGAATGAATTATATTTGCATACTATATTAATTTTAATCCTTGATTGAACTGAGATTAATAAATAATTATTTTAAAACACCATATATATATCAAAAATACAAGTTTTTTTTAGAATGCAGTTTCTGAGATCCTAATATGATAATTCAAACTCCTAACGAAGAATATATTTTGAGGAAGATAAAAGATAGAATCAAGGTCTTGTTAGTAAAATTATAACATTTTTTAACAAATAATTTTACTGCCACAGATGCAGCTTGTTAATATTCAGTTAAAAAATATATATATTAACATATGTACTTAATAAATTAATATATATATCTGTTGAATATTTTTCAGTAAGAATTTCAAAACCCAGAAGTAACCGTTTTCGCAATGCTTGCCAATGTAAACTGGTAAGGCGGAATAGTTTTTAAAGAGTCAACAGATCTTTGATTATATATCAAAAAACTTAAAAAATTAAAACTGTTCAGACATTTTCTTCCTTATATTGTTCTGTAATAATATTTACAATTATTAAATTGTTGGGAATCATTTATTGATTCCAAGGTCTCTGTTATTTGAGCTTGATAAGGAAATGTTACTGTTTTTAAATTAAAAAATTCTGGAAAATTTCTTTAGACAACTAAAAACCTAACTAATCGAGCAAATAATCGACTTTATAGGGCTATTCATAAGCTTGCCAAGCTCGTCAGTTGCAGAGAGAACGCCGATATGATGAAATATAATATATATTGAGAATATCTTATTTCAGCTATCGAATTGTATTAAGAGTGAAGTACGGATAATATAATAATTTGTGCCATTTTAAATAAAAAACTAGAGCTTTTTCTCTTATCCTTTCTCTAATACTTTTGACGCATTTACTGAGAACACTGTTACCTTACACTTGACCAAAAATAAATTGAAATATGAGTTATATACAAATATAAAATTGAAAAAATTAATACAAAATTAAAATAAAAAATTTTTTATTTATTTTTTTAACTACTTTTAAAATTAAGCAAAGTTGAACCCACCATCATGAAGACCACAATAACGCATACACCATACATAAATTGAATATATTTTGACCAAATCATCTCTAACGTAATTATTTTTCGAAAATAAAACTTTTAAGAAAACATATAAATTACAATAAGAAATTATTAAGAAAATATTATTTTAAAGAAAATATTAACAAAAATTGAAGTAAAAAGAACATTATATGTATACTTAAATATATACCGGAAAACCGATATATATATTTAAATCTGTCAACATAAATAAATTGGAAGGTATTTATTACTCAAGTAAAGTAGCAGGAAAACATATGAACGAAACAGTTAAATATTAGAGATATACTCCATTAAATCATATATAACTAAAATTATAATACTAATAATATATGTATACATATATATATATATTAAATAGACTGATTGTGTGTTCAAGTTAAAATTAAAAAGCGAAAAATTTAATTAATATTTAAAAAAACTAAATTAGAGCACATAAGGATATTTATTTCAAATAATAAAAATGATTAAAATTATATTTAATAGTAATACAAAAAAAAAGAAAACTAATAATAAAAACAATATGGGAACTAATATATATGATAAAATTATAAACAAATAGAGTTTGGGTAATATAGATAAACCTTTTTTCATTACAGAAATTATTATATATAAGAATGCTCAAAGTTAATATTAAAGTTGGTCAAATCGATTTAGAAACTCATTCACTAGAAAAGCTGGAGAAGGTTAATAATAATTTATTTATTATATATTGTAAATTGCTATTTTCCTGTAAAAGATTGCAAAATTGTTTTGTTGCTTTATTAAGTGTTAAGTTAAAATAATTTATTAGTTATTTAAGAACTTAATGTAATTTAAAATGATATTATTAGTATTAGAAAGCAATTGTTTGTTTATTAATTTTGTTACTTTTGTGATAATTTGGCATGAAACAATGCCCATAAATATTATTAATTTATAATGAATAATTTAAAAAAAAAATTAGTGAAAGTTAAATTTATTTATTGTCGTATAAGAAAAACAAAAACCAAAAAACAAAAAAAAGCAACTTAATATTAAATTAGAAATTAAGATTGAATATTATATGAGATATACAACAACTTAAACTTTAAAATTAAAATGTTTACTATAAAAATAAAAAAGAAATAAATAAAAAATATATTTATATTATGCAAATTTATTGGAATATGTAAAAATTAAAAATATAAAATATCTTCAGTTGACAAAATTAATATATTAAATGAAGTATTTAAAAGTAAAAGTTTTAAAAGTAAAGAAATTACCTTAAAGGACTTATAAAACAATAATGAATTTATTAATCAATTTATTTCAAAAATCAACAAAATAATATAGGATTATTTCGAAAATGATTTTAATATTAAATTAATAATCATTTATTAAGATTAGATAGAAGCACCTATGAAAAGTACTACACTATTATAAAATATTTAAAAATTTTTATTTTATAAAAAATAAATCCATAAACTAATAGAGACAATAGTAAAATTTTAAAATTAAATCGATCATCATTTGAAATCAGAGTATACAATCAA